ACTTATATAAATTATTAAATAAAGATATAAGCCTTATTTTAATACCAAATATATACGTATATATATATAATCAAATACAATTAGATAATTTTGCTATTTACTTTTTAATTTATTAATTTATTAACAAAAATAAATATATTAATCAATAGATTACAGCTAACGCTAATAATTTAAACTCTTGAGCCAAATTTAAAAACGATATTCATGAAAGATAAATTTCAGATTATTTGCGAACTACTCTTATAAATCTAATAACGATAATATATATCTACAAATTATTAAAAGAAAAAACACTGTTCTAAATACTACCACAAAAGCTTACATGACAAGTTAAAAAATATATTTTTCTTGTTTGATTTATTCTATTTTTTATTTCAAAAAAATATTTAATGAAATGAGTTAAATTTTAATAATTTAATATGAAAAGCATTCGCTTTACACAACATTTCGATTTTTGGACTATGCTAGCAGATGATTTACACCAATGATATTTTATTAAATTTAAGGTTAGCATAATATATGATAGAAAATGAGACGGAGTTGGTCAGAATAGCAGACATCCCACAACAAAAGCAATCGTAGTTTCACTGGGAGTCAGTATGATTTGGTCATTCCCCACCTGCTGAAGTAAGCTACAAAATAATGGAATCACGTGTTTTTCTGTTTGGGTGGGTGGCAAGAATTCCACCTTATTGTCTTTTAGCGCCAGAAGAGCTTGGATTTGTTGTCTCTTGTACTTATACTGTACTTACCTGTTTCTTTGCGCCAAGCATGTGCTGCTCTCATTGTTACCCCTTTTATTTTGATCTTCCCACGCCTGAATTCCTGCTTCTGCAGTTGTCTTGTGATCTTCACGCATGATTTGAGTTGCTTGTGATGACCCTCGTGTTGTGTGGCTCTCTTCTTTTCGATAACACGATGTACCATCACTTTGCTTTAAAAAGTGATAATCATTTCGTGTACTGTAATAAAAAATGATCTATTTAGGGTCTACATTATAGATGCAGACTTATTGACGTTACTAGTTACGGCTCAATTGTGGTTTATTTTATAAACCGATTTTTTATATAGGACGTAACTAGGTGATTTCATAAGTCTGCATCTATAGTCTACATATCGATATAGGTTTGATTTAATTGGTTGACCGACCATCACAACGTCACTGTGCCTCATAAGTGTTCTCACATGACCCGTAATTTTGAATAACCAGTAGCATATTGCTTTTGTTATATAGTTCGTTTTAAGAAATTTTCATAATAATAAAGCTGCTAGACGATTCTACCATTTTCTAGAATATTTTCATTTTTTGTGAAAACACCGATGATCGACAAAATCCATGATTTAAGATTATAAAATTTACGGAAAAACATGGAATATAAAATACGGATCGACTTTTTTTTATAGGGATCGTTGCATACCAATATTTATAAGATATTGGTCATGCAATGATTAATATCATGAAATTTGTTCCGGCATAACAAATCTCATGATATTTATCATCGCATGATCCAATATCGATGTTATCGTGCATGATCATGATTTACAGGTTATTATTGGCTAACTGAGTTTCAATTCGAGTTGTTGTGCTTATGTAATAACGTACAAAAAATAACAAGAAAAAAATCTGATCATAAGAGTTTGCACGATAACAAAAAATAACGGCTGTAAATCAAAATTATGAAACCTGTTATTTAATAATAATTTATCACTATCAAAACGCAGTTAAATTTTAGCAATTTTTAACTTTAACCGATATTCGATAACTGACCGAATTAAAAACTCAAAATTTATTTCGATGTTTGAATAATTATTCACCGATTCCACTAATCAAACTAATAGATTAAAATGAAAATACAAAACAGTACATGAATTTATAATAAGTAAATCAAGTCACCAGATTAAGTATTCGAATATTCAATGAATTTATCCGGAAATTCATTCAATTTTTTGACTGATATCCAAATAGACATCTCAATTTTTTTTTAATTTGTGTAACAATTTTCGGAAAATGATCAACCTCAACCTACGTTTGACGACGACGCCTCAAATAAGCTACTCGGACATCTGTCAATCAGACGAATACCCTTCTATGAATGTAAGTACCTGAATCTTTTTGAATCTTTTGCATAGTTGTCATTGACATCTTTTCAATGTTAGAGACGATCTTAGTTTTCATTTGTGAAATTACTTTATAACAGATAAGTGCAATTGACCAATCATAAGAAAGTTAACCTATGCTATTGTACACATTTTCGGTAGTTGCAAAAAAAAAGCCATCATCATGTGTTTTCCGGAAATCACCCTAATACATAATGATATGCATTACCGTTATTTACATATTTATTATATTACATATTTTGTAATACCCGAGGTGAAACCTACCATATTATGAATAGTTCGATATGTATAACAATAATAGAATGACATAATTTTTACAAAAATAGAAAATTTTAATCAAGGGCGTTTAACGATGGAAGCCACAAAATTTTTAGTTAGCCACTCTATAAAGCATTTCATCACAGAAAATCAAAATAGAATAACATACATATCAAAAATTACAATGGATATTTTGATTATTGTTTTTTGGGTAATTTAAAAGTTATGCGTATGCGATATTTTTAAATAACACTTTGTGTGCATGCGATTTTGAAATCTGGGATACAAAGTTAATAAATAAGATTTATGTAGCTGTGGCACCAAAACTGAATTGTGTACCCAAAAAAAATATTATAGCAAGCAAATCATTTGGGGTTTTAAGAACGCTTTATCACATTAACCAAATATTTTTGTTATATAATCTGTCATTCGATTATATACCAAGAGAATTGATTGGTCAATTAAAATTCTTAGGGAATTCCATTTGTATACGTACATACGTGCATTAAAATAAATGATCACGTGCATGGAAATTCGCCCGAGCAAAACGTATATAAAATAAAAAGAAAAATAAGTGTCAATTAAAGTGACTTCATTTCTTAAATAATATAGTAAATACTATTATTTAAGTCGAATGCAATAGTTATTCATTCAAAGTTCTTGCGCATTATATATAAGCGAGTATTCCAACAATCGATATTGCAAAAAACTAATACCAAATTACCTTTTAGTAAAAAAATAATAACAATGAATGCGATAATAAGTCACCCGAAAATAAATGTAGATGACAATGATAGCAAAGACTATGAGAAAGCTGCGGTCGATGGAGTTGCTAATAACATTTCAGATGCATCATCAAACTATTTACCTTTCGGACAAATTATAGAAATTTTTTACAAATTGGAAGAAGATATAATATCATCATATAAAAATGCAGAATATAATATACAATTATGTGGTTTCTTAATCAAAAGAGTTAACATTGCTACAGCGGCAATAAGAGATTTAGAAATTAGAAAATTTCATAATTTAGAATTTTTTGCTGAGCTCTCTAATCTTCAATTGTTTAAGGAATTTTTAAAGTGTATCCTCGAGATTAGAAACTTTATTAAAAATATTTCTAATCTTGGTGGGATTGCTAAATATTTTCAGACTAATATTGATATTATAAAAAAATATAAAGATTTATCAAATATGTTTGATCAATGTATGGAATCTTTAAATTTTTCAATATCAATTCGATTTAATAAGGACTTAAATAAAGAAATCCAATTTATCAAGAAGGAATTAATGGAATTGAAAGAGGTCCGTTTATATGATTCTATTTATTATATATATTTATCTATTCATTCATTTTTATAGATGATTACTTAATATATAATTAATTATTTATATTTTATAGATTATGCGTGATATGACTGGTGGCATAGTCGATAAAAAAGCTTTTTTAAAAATTAATGAAATTAGAGAATTAAATGATCGTTATCAACGAGAACTATGTAAAAAAGATAATGCAACAATCACTATCGAACCTTTACCTTTATTAGACATAAATCAATATGAACTGAAATACGAATATAAACTTCGTAAAAACGTTCATTGTAGATGGAACGACAAAAATCTTTTAGAATATGCTTTTAAAGAAATTCCATCTCCATCAATAAATGAACAACAAATAATACATGAGTTTTATCAAGAGATTACTATTCTGAAAAAATTAAATTCGGATCATATTACCAAATTTTATGGTGTGGCTAAAAGTAATGACTTATCTAAATATTATTTGGTTACTGAATGGATGGAGAATGGTAATTTACAAGAATATTACTTGAAATACAATTTGGATTGGAATAAAAAATTTGAAATTGCTATTGATATTTGTAGAGGAATGGCTTATTTAAATGCTGTCAACGTATGTTAACTTCTTATTAAGCATTGATTTCTAGTTTTATTTCGATAGTAATCATTTCCACATTCCATCTATATTTTACATCTATATTTTACATCTATATTTTACATCTATATTTTACATCTTACATCTAGATTTTACATAATGATATTAGAGGGAAAAACATACTTATTGACAGAAATCATAAAGCCAAGATTGCTAACATTGTTTTTAAATCAAATTATACACCATGCGACGGACGTGTTCAACTCGATTTTTTTGAAAAAGTAAGATATATGGCACCAGAGAAATTGGAACATGGTGAGAAACAACGATATAATATCAAGTGTGAAATTTATAGGTACGTACATGAAAATCTTTTCAATTTCATATGATTATATATAATATTTGCCAATCATAACCTGATTAATGTTTTAGCTTGGGGGCTCTTTTATGGGAGATTGCCGAGGAAGAAATACCGTATACCAAAGAGAAATTAGACTTTCCAACTATTTTGAATCGCGTCGTTAAGGATAATTATCGTGAACCATTCTCCAAAAATGTACCTAAAGTTTGGCAAGATATCGTTAATGAAGGTATAGTCACAGTTTATGTATAAATTTATTATAATGTTTATGTTTAATTGGGCTAATATTTATGCTTTATTAAAGCCTTAAGTTATAATCCGAGTTTTCGTCCTCCAATTTCGAGAATATTCAGGGTCCTCAATGATTATCTTTATAAAAAATGTGACATGAACAGTAATGATAATTTCGAACTGATCGATTGCTTTGATCTATTTGATTATATATATATACGTATATATTTGGTATTAAAATAAGGCTTATATCTTTATTTAATAATTTATATAAGT